TTCTTTTTTCGATTTGCATGTATTCACGGCACTTTCTTTTGAATTCGAACCTGGTTTTTGTGTATAGAAGTCCGTCGGCTGCCGGACAGGATTAGATAGCTCGACAGAGGCGCTATAGAAAGACTTGTCAATAAAGGCCTCAAGTTCCTTTATAGTAGAATTATTTGGACTTAGAAGCATATCATCAGATTTGGATGCATCGCCCAAGACATCGGTTTCAATGTCACATAGATCGTTAATTTTAGACAAGTTGATTAAATCCTCAATATTATTCATTTGACACATCAAGGGCTGCATTGGCGGCGATGCAGTCTTACTTTTATTGTCAACATGCTTTGTTGGTGAATTCTTAAGATTTACTGAGTTTCTTTCATTTTCAATTTCTGACAAATTCGCTTGAAGCTGTTTGATAGTGATATCTCGCTCGTTTATCGCTCTGTTTTTCTCGTCTAAAATTATGGAAAACTCCTTAAGCAAGGTCTCCATTCTGGTGTCGTACGATATTTGACGGTTTTCGGTAGAGTCCAAAACCTTACTAATAGATTCTATAATCGCGTTGGTAGAGTTAATAACATTGTTTATAGATGTTATTTGTTTTTGCATAACTGTTATGTCCGCTTTAACCCCTTTCATATCGTTGGTAAAAGTATTGTACGACCAACTGAGATGTTTCAACGGGGTCGATTCAGTAACTGCCAGGTTATTGTTAGCGATAATTTCGCATGTTTTAACTGGAGATATCTCGGCAGTGTCTGTTTCAGATACCGAATCCGCTATGTTGGTCATAAAATCAGTGTCCGTATCCGTGGTTGTTTGGCCAATACAAGTTATATCTAAGACACTCACCAGATAATTCTTGAGCAGATCACCATCCTTTCCTTGGAATAATAGCGAATTCTGTTTGCCCGGGTACCACGTCGCGATCAGATCAAAATTTACGCTGGTAAACCTCTTAGCTTTACCACCAGGTGATGACCAATTGCCTCGTAGGCCGAGTAGTATTTCTGCACGTCTGTTTATTTCGAAACTTCAGAGAAGAAAACTCCCATCGATCCAGACAAGATCTCCGAAGAAATATTTCCAAATTTACAGACAAGCTGTCAGGACGTTTGCTTTGGATTTTAGGTTTACCTAGGGTTAAGCTAACCCAGCTATGAACAACCGGCCCCAGTAGGGTAACTTTTTCCCCCTCCTAGGGGGCTGTTTATATGATCCCACTTTGCCGGAATGAGATGTGAGGCGGGATGATTTTAAAGTATTGAAATAAGTCACGGTGCACGATTCAACAAAACTACACTATTTTTCTAGCGATAGATTATAGTATATAATTGTAAACTAAAGGTTGTTCAAGCAGAATAATAAACCTCTTGAAATACGAGATATTCTCGACAGAGTCCTTTTAAGCGGCGTTTGAACTTTCGTTTAACTTCAGTGATTTATTACAATACATCAAAACCATCCCGCCTTCCATCCCCTCCCGACAAACCGCGATCATGTAAACAGTTCCTAAATTTGTAAGGGGCACTTTCTTCCCATATCCGGGAGGGTCTGACGAAAATGTTGATAATCGGAGACTGTTCAAGAGTAGTGAATACTTAGGGCTCCCAATTGTGTAGTCATGCTATTGCATTTTTTCTTTCAATTTTTGTTTTCTATAAGAGAAAAACAAAACTTGTGTACACCCTGTATTACTAAAAATTGATTTTAAGAGAAAACAAAAATTGAGCACCCCCTGATACTACTGTTGTAATCTTACCTGATCTCCACTGACTGCAATGTCGAGTTCCCAACTCATGACGACACACGTGACTTGACTGTCGTGACCATATAACACTTGTAATGGTTTACTGCTAACATTCTGTGCTGTACCAGAATGATGGTTGATTGACCATACCATGCACGTGAGATCACGTGAACCGCTGATAAAATGGTGACCATCTCTGTCCAGATTTATACAAGTCACGGTATCTGCAGACAATGCTTTACCATTTTAGTTCTAATAAATGGACCTCAAAAGTGCTCAGGTCATGTCATTTTCAAACTATAAATTATAGACCCACGAGTATCCCACAATGCACTGTGCATTCCAGAATGTATAAAAAATTGCGTAACGTAAGCACGTCTAAGGTCTATTAAGGCCTGATTCCACAACGGCGAAATGGACCTTTCCCCTTATAACTAAAATTTCGATCTAGACAAAAATTTCATCACAGCTTGAAAGAGCATCACAAAATTAGTAATATTCCAAAGTTTTGTTACAAAATCTTGTAAAATGCGGATAAAATAGCCTTGCGAAGTTTGCCGTTTTTCAGTCATTTTGTATTACAAACGGGAAA